GGAGGAGGAGGAGGAGGAGGAGGAGGGAACTCCCCCTGTCCCCCGCAAGCCCAAAGGACATTTCTGAAACCCAGAGGACATTCATGTGGAAAGACTGACAGCCAGTTGAAAGGGGAGCCACCACGACTCCAGCAACATGAGCGTCTTTGGAGACCTTGACTAGAGCGTTTTCATGGAGTACTGGGAATGAAGGTTAGCTGTGGTGGGTAGGGAGAGAATAGGAGTGAGGGTGTGACAGTCACATCTGCACAGTGATGCTGTGTTTGGTGAGAGTGAGCCCAAGAGATGATAAGCTGAAGATGCCCCATCACCTAGTATGGTACCTTATCTATGCTTAGAGATATTCGGATACACATAGCATACCCCACTATGTTACGGTTGTCCACAGTATTTCCCGTGGTAACATGCTATCCAGGTGTGTAGCCTCAGAACAACAGGGTATACCATCCCCTCCAATAGGTGTGTAATAGGATATACCATCTAGGTTGTTAAGTGTGCCCTAGGATGTTCACACAATGATAAAAATCACCCAACAGTACATTTCCCTGCAAGTATTCCCATCATTAATGACGTACAACTCCATGCAGAACTTGTAAAGAAACTGCCATGGTATGGAGCAGAAGTTGGAGCAGAGGCTTCTGGAAAGCGAAGGACCCTTGGTGGAGGCATCGATCCTTGTTTGCAAAGGGATGGGTGTTCCTAAAGCATGCACGCTCGTGGGAGAGCTCCTGGAGACAAGGGTAAATAAGGCACAAGACTTCATGAGGGAGATGCTCTTCAGGCAAGAGCAAAGTCTGCTCACAGACAGGCTGCCTTCAGGTGGGAACTCAGGTCGGTGGGACAGAGGTACATCAATTCATAGTTCTGAGACTAGGAAAGTTAAAGGCTCCCTTGCAATGTGCTATCCTTCTTTTAATGTAACTTCCTATTAGCAAAGGGGTAGTGACATTTGAGGAGGGAGAAGAAAGTGGAGTAAAAATGGCAGACGGGCAAGAAGGCTGCAGAGCCGGACATCCTTGAGAAAACTCAGTTGAGATGCAGTCGGTCAGCATGCTGGGTATTTCTTCCCCACCTACCCTTGACCACTTGAGTATAGAGCTTAGACCTGACTTATAGGATGGTTCTTCTCTGTAGACATGGAGGGACCCAGTGCTTTCTGGCCCCACATCACCGACACTTTCATGGTCCTTGCAAATTTTGGACTCGCCAACAGAGAAGTCTGTCTGGACACTGGCAGCAGACCCTTAGCACGTCCATCCTTCGAGCTACCGCAACCTGAGGAACTAGAGGGGTGAGATCGAATGCTCACAGTCTTGGGGAGCAGCCTTCATGGGCTCTCTGCCCTGCACCCCAGAACCAAGAACACATTCCTGCTCTGCCGTTCTCTTCACATCTCCCTTCAGAGTGACAGAGTAAGCACGTCTCGATGGCAGATCAAGGAACACAGAGATCTCTGTGGGAGCAGGGCTCTAGTAGCTCCAACCCCAAACATGCTTGAAAAACAAGCAGACTCTCCCAGGAACAGCCGAGCCATAAAGAACTTCTGCGAAGGCGGTTTATTGGGTGCACGTGTAGGTCTATCTCCCTCATCATCAGGTGCCCACTTGCTTACAGAGAAAGGGCTTGTTCATCTTCATCTTACTCATCCATCTCTCTCTGTGCACAACGGCTGGCCCTTTCCACAGCTTACTCATCCTTCCTGGAGCAAGCCTGCCATGGCGCCTCACACAGGCAGGTGCTTCATTAATTCTGACTGCAGAAACAAACAAGTGGGTCCGTCAAAGCCGCAGGGCCGTTCACTCAAGAGAAAGGGAGCCCCCACCTCCTCTACAGCCAGGGAGTCACAGCTCCGTGGCACAAGCAGTCCCCAGATCCAGAGCTCGTCATCACCAGCACGATACGGCTCCTGACCTCTGTGTAGCAAGACTCCTCAGGGCCTGCTGAGTCAGGAGGTCATGCTGGCCAGTCATGTGGGGAAGGGCTTGCTGCTTCCATGAGGCTCCCAGTTCTGGGAGGCATGGAAGGGAGCTGGTAAAGGTTTCCCTACAAGTCTCTGATCATGTGTATCATAAGTCTACATGTGTATGTATGTGCATGATTACATACGTGCATGGGAGCTTATATGTATGCATGTATGCATGTGTTTGTGTGGACAACGCATGTGCACACAGCCTGCTTTTTACCTGCTAGGTGCTCTTGCCTGAGGAGAGATCAGCCGATCTCTACCCTGTTCTTGCTCCGCTTTCTAATTCTGGTCCTTCTGCCCCTGGAAGGTGTCTGAGAAGTGAACCGTAGGGAACTCTCAGTGGGTCATCCCCATCCTTGCTGCAGTTAGGCCTGGAGCTTGGAGTAAGAGGCCAAGGCAGGCAAAGGTCCAGGAAGCAGACCAGAGCAGAAAAAACCAACGTCTCCGGCTGCTGAACAGAGGGAGACCTGTAGTGCCCTGGAGCTCGAGAGGCCCATGGCCAGGAAGGAGCTGCCTAGAGGAGAGTGGGGTGATCCTACCCCGAAAGTGAGGTCTGGGAAGTGGGACATGCCCTTGCCCAACAGAGCTGGGTCCAAAGAAATAGCTCCTCCCGAGGACTAGAGTTCAAGCAAGGAGCCTATGACTGAGTCTGGTGACCTCTTGATGACTGTACAAGTCTCCTTGGTCTCATGTAACAGCCTGGCCCCTCGAACATTGGAACTGAACCTGCTTAGAATCCTAGAGGCTGGAGGCCCTTGATGAGGGCATCCATGGGCAGTTTCTTCTGAGGCCACTCCTCTAGATGGCCACAGCCACCCTGTGTCCTCATGTGGCCTCTCCCCGGCTTGCGCGGAGGACAGTCAAATGGAATTAAGGCCCCACCCTAATGGTTTCATAGAGCATAACCACCTCTTTAAAGACCCTGACTTGGAAGAGAGTCACCTTTCGAGGCACTGGAGATTTAGGGCTCCAGCATATGCAGCCTTCTTGGGGGAGGCGCAGTTTACTAAATGGCAGCGATTATGGGATCATTGTCCTAGTCTTGACTGTGAGTTATAGCATAGAGCTGCGCGGCCACACACTATTGGGCTGTCAGTGTGAGTCTATGTTCATATGTGTACAGGTCCATAGATGTGCATACATATACATGTGTGCTCATACAAGTACAGGAGTTTGTATGTATACACACATTTGTGCACGTTTGTGATCATGGTACATAGGCATAGAAGCCATTTGCCTTCTAGGTTGATCTGCCAGATTTTCCCTGGAGCAGGAGAGGAGGACGGGCTAGGCTGAGGGCATTTGGTGGTTGAACTGAAGTAGCCGTTCAGTTTCATAGCACTGAGAGGCAGCGCCAGAACGCTTACCCCATGGCCTCCGTGTCCTGGACTCCTCTATGATTCTGAGCTTTCCAGCCAAGTCAGACTGCAGGAGTCTCCCGGCCCAGATGTTACAGTCCCCAGCAGCCGCCCCGTCTTCTCTTCCTGTATCCTGTAGGAGGGAAAGAGGCGGCTCCCTGAAGGTGACGTGATTCACTGCTGAGGTTTGGAGCTCACCACAATGTCCTAGCCGCCGTGACTCACTGGGTTATCAGGCTCTAACGAGTGGACTGATTTGCCCAAGGTCTGACACAGGTCCAGTACTGCGGAGGGCAGGGCTCAGTCAACCGAGGGCCTGACCCCCCTGGACACCTTACAGGTACCTAGAAACCTCTCCCCAGGCCCCAGCTCCCTACCAGCAGGCCTCTCCAGCTAGGGCACACTAGGCCTAGACTTTACGCTGACCCCTCCTGCAGGAGGGACCTCACCCTGGTTTTATCTCCTTTGAACTGGTCCTGCCTGGTTTCAGCAGGAGGAAGATTCTAGACTGAGGCCTTATTTGGGTTTCCAGCGGCAACATTCCATCTGAATGTTTCTAAGGTGGGTTCGATGCTCTAGTGCCGGTCCACATAGCCATGGCAGCCTGGAAGCCCTGAGGGCAATCCCTTCTTTCTTTCTGGCCATGACAGGTGAGGGAATGCTAGAGATAACCCCTAGGCTGGGACTGGGGCCTAGAGAGCTTGTCTCGACTGCTGGGTCCTTCCAGCCCAGCCACTAGTATAGGGATCTAGGGTGTCTCTATCCGCAAACTTGGCTCTCCTCTCGAGCTCTTGTCTCTGTCCTGGCCACTCTGTCCTGTGAGTGGATAGATAGATGGCCGTGTTGTTCCAGCCTCCAGGACCGCCAGGTGGCCTGGGCTACTAAGGACCCCTTTTCTCACACAGCCTCAGCATCCAGGCCTGTTCTTGTCCAACCTCCAGCAGAGGCTAAGAAATGCCAGAGCTGGACCGGCTCCTTCAGAACTCTCCTGTCTTCTCATTGGCTGCCCGTAATGGGGTTGGCAAGTCATTTGCGCCTGTCCCTCTTATCGGGAGTGTGTTTTTGCCACAGCACCTGGGAGGAGGCAGCTCCTCAAATGCACCTGTATTTGATGAATGAATAAATGGGTCTCCAGACAATTCGTGTCCTGTTTCCCGGAGCTCCTGTGAGGTTATCTTCAAAAGACGTGTGATTCAGTTCCTGGGTGCAGGTGGTGGTGGTGGGGGTTCCCATCCATGTTTGCTGGGTGCCCGCAGGAGTCTGCCGGGATTGGAGGAGGCTTCAGGTCTGTGAGTGTGAGTCCTTTCGGTGAATTGACCTTGAGGCCTCCCTGCAGGAAACCGAAATTGACTGTTTCCTCTCAGACCAAGCCTGAGGTACTTCAGGTGTGGGGCCGGCGGGCCAGTGAGAGGCTCTGACTGAGCCTGGCTGGCCTCCAGCAGGAGTGGCATGGGAATGTGGCCTTTGGCCCTTGAGGGCTGCCTAGCGGAGAGGGTGGGGCAACTACCCAGAGCCAAACCTCTGGGTGGCCTCTGACTGACAGACACTTCTGGACAAACCCAGCGTTGGTAGCCCCAAGAGGAGCCTTTCTTCATCTTCCCTCACTACCCGGGTTTTCAGTTCACACCTCTCGCTGGTTGAGGGAGCCGTCAGGAAGCCCTCAGGATTCCCTCGACCCTGTGAAGACACAGACTAGAATGGTGAGGTTCCCTACGTGTGCCCACTGCCCTGTTCCCAAGTACAGTGACACTTGCCTGGGTTGGACAAGGTCATCTTCGGGTGGCCTTCAGTCCTTGCACCCGGAAATCCCCACGTTTTGTTCTGCCGCATCCTAGGGAGAAGGTAGTTAGTTTCCTAGGGTGGAACCCATCAGGCATGGTGAATATGGGGGATGAGGGTCATGGCCAAGGCTGTGAGAAGAGCAGCCCTGTTCTGCCGGAAATTCCTAGTCTGGCCTGGTCCTGCAGAGCCTGAGGGGACAGGAAACCTGCTTTTCCTGCCCCACACTCCCACCCTGCTGCCAGGGGAAAGGCGGGCACTCACCAGCTCTCACACGGTGCCCTGGGGTTGTTTTCTAGAAAAAACAAGCCGTTGGCCCATCCAGCCCATTGTCATCCCCTTCCCCTCAGAGCTCAGACACAAGGGAACACGATAAGAAATTGTAGCGAGTCTTGGGTTTGAATCCTGCCTTTGGCCTTCCTGAGGCAAAGCCATTTTCCACATAAGCCCAGTTCCCTGCTGTGCAACTGGTGGGGGGGGGCGAGGAAGGGGGTCCCAGGACCTGCCCTGATCAGGTGGTTCTGAGAACCCCAGAGAAGAGGCAGGTGCCGCTCCTCCAATGGGAACATCTCCTCAGCTTTGGTACCCTAGCCCTATCTCATCCTATGAAACCTGGGCCCAGGTTGGATCCTGACCCAACCCTGAGTTGGGCCTGGGCTTGAGGGTCTCGCTCTCGTCTCCTGTTCCTGTTTTTCTCACAGCTGTGTTGGAAATAGGAAGGGGACTGTCCTCTTTCCTTCCCTCCCCGGGTGCTGGTTTATTTGCGGCCCATTTTTCCTATCCCTGTAGGCTTCCGTCCTAGGGAACAAAAATTTGCTTGCTACACCTCTTCAGGGTATCCCCTCACCCCCAGATGGTGACCACTGTCAAGGAAATGGGCAGCGCTGGTCCCATCTGCCAGCCGACGCGTGGCCATCAGTGAGGGTCCCCATGAGCCGTTCCCCACACTGTGACCTGGGCCTGGTCCACACAACCACAGCGTCCAAGCCCTCTGAGGCAGCTGGGCAGTGAGGTCAACATTGTTGTGCTTTCCATCTACTGCACGCCGTGTGACTTGTACCCAATGCCCCAGTCTTCACGGTCACAACCGGGTGGGTAGGTAGTGTTATCCACACTCACGGAAAAGGAAACTGAAAACCAGAGAGTGAGTGACCTTCCTGAGGTCACGTGGCTGTTAAATGGCAGGTGAGGAACCTGGCCCTAAGGTTTATGACCTTTTCCACTGCATATATATATATATATATATATATATATATATATATATATATATATAGGCACTTCAGGAAGGATGAAGGAGGAGAGGAGTGACCTCAGGGACACATAGACGTAAGGGCGCTTCCCCCAGAAGCCATCAGGCGTAACTGTCACTGGCAGCCGCGTCTGTGGAGACATCGTCCCTCTTTGTACCTTGAACATTCAGTACCTCGTTCCCATCTGCCACAGATGGGCCCAGGGACGCATCCAGCCTCAGCTGACCCCCACCTCCCGGTGGGATCCCCTCCTGTCTGCCAGTCCTCTCTCCCTCCTCCATACTGGGGCAAAGTTAGAATAGGGGCTGGGTTCCTTTGTAGACGCAGAGGCACAAAAGCCGTGCCTCGGGATACAAGAAAACCATGCTGTGGCGTTTGACCCAGAGTCTACAAACCGATAACCTGGATTCATAGTGTCGCCAACGTTGACCAGGGTGATAAAACAGTCAGCTTATTTAGCTCCCTCGGCTTCAGTTTCCTCACTTGACGGTGTGGGTTATTTTAAGGATTATGTGTAAATACTCGACAGTCAAACTTGGCACGTCCTGCCATGCTCAGTGAATCTCCGTAGTTCGGCGTGGGGTGGCAATGGTTAATACGTCTCTAAGCCTGGCTGTTCTGAGTGGAGCCGCTGATGTAGGTATTTCTGGGTCTCATTTCTGTCCTGTTGTGGGGGCCTGAGGGTGGGAATGGGAGAGCAGGCGACATTCAGGTAGAGGCATCTTGGCGGGTCAGACGGTGCCCTGTACCATTCCAGGGGCAAGGGAGGCAGCTTGCAGAACATGGGCTGCTATCCAGCAGAGACGCAAGAGCCCCGACTAAAGGACCCCTCTCCTGGGACCCGTTCTCACTCTACAGTCCCCGGAACAGAAAGAGCTCCTAAGAGTGGGACCTCCAAGGCCGAGTGGAGCTACTCTGCGGCTGTTACCGAAGGTGACTGCTCGGTTAAGGACCCAGAGGGACACAGGAGGCTTCCTGTGTTTCCCCAGGAAGGAGCAGGGAGCAGGAGATGAGAGAGGCTAGAAGAGAGCCAGGGGCTGGCTCAGAGGCCATGGGGAAGGGAAAAGAACCCGCTGTGTGGAAACATGTCCCCTCCACTTGGGTCTTAGGAACTAATTCTTGCAGGGCTTGCGATTGGAGCTGAGTCACAGGGGACATCAGCTTGTCTGGAGGCTGAACAGAGAAGCCCCTGGTAAGGGGTGGGAAGGAGTCAGACCTAGTGTGCTTACGCTCTTAACTGGTTTGACTGGATTCCCGGAGCTGCAAGGTTTGAGACCGTGACCCCAGGAGAGAGACTAGAACAGCATCTCTCCGCCTTCCTAATGCTGCAACCCTTTGTTACATTTCCTCATATTGTGATGACCCCCAACCACAAAATTATTTTCATTGCCACTTCATAACTGTAATTTTTCGTAATGTAAATATATGATATGTGGGATAGCTGATATAGGACCCCTCCCCAGGGGTCGCAACCCACAGGTTGAGAACCACTGGACTAGAGGAAGAAGGCCGTTTCTGGGACTCAGGATGTCTCAAGGATTCCAAAGAGGAGCCGCTGAAGGGAAGATTTAAGGACCGTCTGCTTGTGGACAGGGTGGAGATTTCCAGCCAGCAGCCCGTTGCGCAGGTGACTGGGCATTCCCAAACACATGCCCTTGCGGCTTTGCTGGCCACAGCAGGGGAACAAATTACATGTTGTTAGAACAATCCGGATGATGAAGTCAGTCAGTGCAGCCTTGATCCTCTTTATTTCAGCGACACTTTGGCAAAGCGGCCGGTGGAGCTGCCAGCCGCGTCTCTGGTGGCTGGCTCCTCCGAAGGGACTACTGTCACACATGACTACAGGGAGGGGTCATGGCCGTGGTCTCAATGTGCCGTCTGTCACTGTTTTAGTGAGGGCTACTATTGCTGTGATGAAACAGCATGACTAAATGCAAATTGAGGAGGAAAGGGTTTAGTGGGCTTGCATGTCCATCATTGAAGGAAGCCAGGACCAGAACTCAAACAGGGCAGGAACCTGGAGGCAGGAGCTGATGCAGAGGCCATGGCGGGGTGCTGCTTACCGGCTTGCTCCCCGTGGCTTGCTCAGCCTGCTTTCTTACAGAACCCAGGACCACCAGCCCAGGGCCCTCCCCCATCAGTCACTGATTGAGAACATGCCCTGCAGGCTTGCCTACAGCCCCATCTTACAGAGGCATTTTCTAGATTGAGGCTCCCTCCTCTCTGATGACCCTACCTTGTGTCACATTGACATAAAACTGGCCAGTACAGTCACCTTTTCCTTCTAGGTGGAAAGTTCTCCCAGGAAAGCCTGTTGGGACGGCGGACTGCCTTT